TGATTGTTCTTGAATGGCCCAGCCAGAGCCCTGACTTAAACCCAATTGAGCATCTCTGGAGAGACCTAAAAATGGCTGTCCACCAACGTTTACCATCCAACCTGACAGAACTGGAGAGGATCTGCAAGGAGGAATGGCAGAGGATCCCCAAATCCAGGTGTGAAAAACTTGTTGCATCTTTCCCAAAAAGACTCATGGCTGTATTAGATCAAAAGGGTGCTTCTACTAAATACTGAGCAAAGGGTCTGAATACTTAGGACCATGTGATATTTCAGTTTTTCTTTTTTAATAAATCTGCAAAAATGTCAACAATTCTGTGTTTTTCTGTCAATATGGGGTGCTGTGTGTACATTAATGAGGAAAAAAAATGAACTTAAATGATTTTAGCAAATGGCTGCAATATAACAAAGAGTGAAAAATTTAAGGGGGTCTGAATACTTTCCGTACCCACTGTATATATATACATACTACTAATTATTTGAACCTTGATTTTTTGATTGATTTGCTTGTAATTTTGTTCTTGTCTAAACACATGGATTATGTTCTTCAATACAAGGAGTCATCCAAGTTAATCCCATTATATCCATTCACCTCAGTTATAACGTTGGCTGATCCTATGAATCTATGCAACCTTTTAGGATTTTGTAATCATTTCACTCACCCCAGGTCCGATCTTGTTTTTGGGTGGTTTGCTGTAGATGCTGGAGTTGCGTTTCTGGACAATATCCCTTGCCCTGCTGACAGTCACCGGCTGCACAGCTCCTCTCAGAAAGGTCAGCATCCCACCAGCTGTATGGATCAGCACCAGTAAGTATGGATGTGTCTGAGAGAGAGAGGCTAAGGGAGAACGAAAGGGGGATGTTCACTGGGTGCTACCCCTGGGTTTCCTGCCTCAGGACTGCTGAGGAGAAAATAGATGTATCCTGTCATATTATAGACTTCCCAAAACTAGCCCACTCTTTGGGAGGGGCCTAGACAGTTTGAACACCCACCCATTATTAACTTTTCTTCAATGCCCCTTTTGATGAAATGTAAATGAAACAGTGGAATATAACATCATATTATCTTTGATTCAATGTAATTTAGATTTAAAGTTACATCAATTCATGTTGAACCTCTATAAAACTGTTGAACTTTTCTTAAGCTTACAGGTGATGGACAAGCAAAGCTCATTTGGGCTTATAATGTTTTATTCTGCTATTAATGTCTTGTGTGATTTACACCCTATTTGCAGATGCTGTTTGACAGCACATGAGTTCACAGAAACACATCTAGCTAAGAAACACCTGGCTCTCTGCTTAGTGTGCATTCAGGGCTGTGCCCAGTACAAAGAGGTACAAATTACAAGAGATCTGATTAGAGGAGCAGATTAAAGCGAGATAAAAGTGCAGAAAGTGGCGCAGCTGGCTGTGTGTTCGGTCAGCTGTCAGTACAGCCTGTGGTATTACACTTCATTCATGTTGGTGATCACATTACAGAGGCTGGTTTTTCATGTTAGAATACCGCTTGCCATTCAACACTTCCACAGTGGATACACCCTACACATTGTTTGGTTTATGCACTGGGTGTGAGCAATTTTGTGTGTGTACTGTTATTGTGCTATTTTGATATCTTCGGTGGAAAGGAGATATTTTACCTGAGGATATTTTTTTCAAACCTATAGTTTGAAAGTAGGGCAAAACCATCCTGAAACCAAGATTTTTTGTGCTTTATTTGAAAGCATAAACCCCAGCCTTTGTTGGTGATAGTGAGGGATGTGTATGAAGTTACTGAAATTAAATTGTCATTTTATTATTATTATTATTTTATTATTTTTTTTAATCAGCTTCATCCAGATTTGCATAGATTATGAATGACGTCATAAAAATTTACGAGAAATTGCAGGCCATCCATTTGAAGCCACCTAGTGGACAATAGTTCAATAATGTGGCGTTGTCGCCCTCCTTTGGGAAAAGCCAGGTGACTAAAGTACGAAACAATTATATTATATTATATTATATTATATTATATTATAT